GGGGCGGCTGAGCGGGAGGTTCGCTGTGCGCAGGCGCAGTGCGCTGCCAGGCTGTAGGGCCCGAATGAAAGCTGGGGGCGGGGGTCCCCAGTTGCCCTCCAGCCCCAGGTGGAGGGGAGCGGTGTGGAGGGGGTCGAGAGGGTGGATTGGGTCCTGGGAGTGCATGTCCCGAGGGTGTGAAAGAGTGAAGTCATGACGTGGAACCCCTTCCTGGTTGTAGAGGAGTCTGAGAGGGAGAAAAGTACCCAGAAGAGCTATTTCGACTGTGAGGCAGGGTCTTCACCACGGAGAAGGAATTTCTGCAGCTAAATGGGAAAATGTTGATTTCTTCACAAATAATTCCTACTTTCATCCAACTTTAATACTAAGCCATTAAAGATACATTAATATCCTTAAAGCCTATTCATCCTTGTGAGAAACATGGGGAATGCAAGTTCTTCAGAGAGAAAATTGTTTCTGATATCATGTCAAATAAAAAGAACCCAGTTTCTGCCTGGATACGAGCAGTTTGACCAGAATATACATAATTGCTAGTCTCTTCAGAATTTTCTGAATTTGCTATGAATCCTTGTATATAAAGGAACAAAAGTAAAGGCCTTCTTTAAACTTACTTTTTTTCGGAGAGGAAGGGAGAGAGAGAGAGAGAGAGAGAGAGAGAGGAACATTGTTGTGAGAAGCATTGATCAGTTTGCCTCCCCTATGATCTGGGCTGGGGATTGAACCTCTTCATGGGTGTCTCCCAACCACTGAGCCACTCTGGCCAGGGATTTTTTTTGAACTTCAGGTGTCAGACACTGTACAAATGGCCAGGAAAATTGTTGATGTCAACCAAACTTTTGAAGAAAAAAGTTGTCTTGGGGGGTGGAGAAAAGAAGGAAAAAGGAGACATGTAAAATTTTAGACAATAAATAAAGGAAAGAAAACATTAAAAAAAAGTAGTCTTGAAACTTGCTATAGATTTATGGAGATCTGGCCTAGTTAGAAAGGTTGGGAAGGTGGTGATGGGAGCAGCCAGCAGGTTGCAAACTTGTTTGGTTATTCAAGGATGATGTAGTATATATTAATATATATCTTCTCAGCACTTTATTTCCCTAACTGAAACTTTACCCATTAAGATTTGTTACCTTGTTGCCCTGGCCGGTGTGGCTTGTTTGGGCATTGTCCAATGCACAAGTTTGCCAGCTCCATTTCCCATCGGGGCACATGCCCGGATTTTCGGGCTTGACCCCTGGTGGGGGGCTTGCAGGAGGCAGCTGATCCCATGTTTCACTCACAGTGCTGTTTCTCTCCCTCTCTAAAAATCAAACTATTCTTTTAAAAAAAGATTTGTTACCTGTTCACATCACAGTTTCTCTGAAATGTTAACTTTTTGGACTCAGGTCCACCTGTCTCTGATTTCTCAGGTTTGGCTTCCAATCTTTGCTATTTACGTTTTAGGTCAAGTTCTCAGTTTCATAGTTTGCTGAGCTACATGTAATGTCCTAAGTATCCTGAACTGCCTCTTGGTGGTTATTGTGGTGGTTGTGTTTGCATCTTACGAACTTTATTTCCTTTAGACTTCCCAAGTAAGAAGCGGAAGAGGAGCCGCTGGAATCAAGACACAATGGAACAGAAAACGGTGATTCCATGAATGCCTACAGTTATCCCCCCTGGACTCACTCGGGAACAAGAGAGAGCTTATATAGGTAAATACACGTTCTGCACCCAAATGCATTTTCAGATTGTTAATATTCTGAGCGACACTTTATTCGTTTAGTTTTGAGACTTTAAACTTTTCTATTTTGAGATAATGTATGGCCAGGTGTACTTTCATGACTTTGAAATAATTCTTCAGTTTTTGCTGTGTGGGTCCTGCATTTGCAGCTCCTTGTTATGGTCTGTTGGTAACAGCAGTGTTCTCCATGAGTGCCAGGAAAGTAGAGGGGCCACTTAGGAGTTAAGAGTAGCCCCCAGTTTAGGACCCCACACCTTCAGCTGCTGTTATTGCCAGTTGGTGAGGTGAGTGTCTTATGCCTCTGTGGACACGGCCCCAGTGGAGAACACTGCAGGTATTGTAAACCAAGTACCTTTTTCACAGCATGGCCTCTCACCATAATTTTACATTTCTCCCTTCCCTTAAAAAATGGTCTTTTACTTTTTATAGGTACTTTCTGAAAGGAAAAATACTCAGTTTAATCAAAAAGTTGTTCTGAAAGTGTTTACAGTTCACCCCCTTTTTATCATTTTGTTGAGTTTAACCTTTCCTTCAGCAATTATTTTCCTGGTTTGGTCTTTGGAGAGCTGTCTTAAAATGAGGGCTCTTGTATTTACCACTAAAGAACTCTGCTGGGAAAGGGATACTACTTGGATATGGAATCTTACCTATTGGGAACTTTTAAGAATTAAGAATGATTATCCACATTGGAAATGAAATTAACCTCAAAATTACCTTTTTTAAAATACAAGGTTTTTAATGCAATTTGACCTTTATTTGTGTACCTCTGCTGCTGTCTCAAAAAAGTTCACTTGATAAACATTTCCTACTAACCAAATAAACACCCCCTCTGGAGTAAATTAGGGCAATGGTTTCCTACACCTATGAGGCTATGGCCTTCACAAATAAAAAGCTTCAAGGCTGGCTTGTTATTCTTGAGGATCAGAGTGTCTTACATTTTTTAGACTGCTGACAATTTTGAGGTGTTGAAATTGTCTAATATTTACAATATTTTCCTTCCCTCACTGTTCCTATCTACTCCGGCCCAGTCTCTTAGTCTCTCTCATGTTAGATCTGAATCTTCACAGCCTTGTGAAAATGTCCTTTGTGGAGCAATATCCCAAGAATAACAAGCTGACTTAGAAAATGGGAAACCAAACTCATTCTTTACACCTCCAGTTCTCTTCCTGTGGAAGGAGTTAATGCACTGAGCTCTGAGGGCTACTTATAGCTAATTATAGCTAGAATCAAAGCCTGGGCGAATGTAGATTTCCACTCCAAGGAATATAGCAACCTTGATTTAAGTGCCAGCTGTTTCCTCACATCAGACCCCGCTATCCCTGCAGACCAGTTAAGAGAAGTGTCTCACACACACCCATAGGAAGGTGGCTTTCACTTTTAGTTGTTCTTAGAACTCAACTGCCAAGCCAGAACTTTCCTGGCATAAAAGAGCTTAGGGCGAGAAGAAGGGGGAAAAAGCTTAGGAGCCGTTGTCTTTACTTTTGTCTCAGTACACACTGCCTTGTACAGAATGCCCCAGTGTTTTTTTAATAACGTAGATTTTACTTCAGAGTTTTTTTAAAAAATATATTTTATTGATTTTTTACAGAGAGGAAGGGAGAGGGAGAGAGAGTTAGAAACATCGATCAGCTGCCTCCGGCACCCTCCCCACCGGGGATGTGCCCGCAACCAAGGTACTTGCCCTTGACTGGAATCGAACTCGGGACCCTTGAGTCCGCAGGCCGACGCTGTATCCACTGAGCCAAACCGGTCAGGGCATCTTCAGAGTTTTAATGGGTGTGTGATACAGCCCCTGTGGGATGTATTTATTTATTTGTTTGTTTGTTTGGTAATCCTCATCCGAGGATATTTTCCCATTGATTATTTTTTGAGAGAGTGGAAGGGAGGAGGAGAGACATTGATGTGAGAGAGACAGCGATTGGTTTGCCTCCCACACGTGTTTTGATGGGCTGGGGATTGAGCCTGCAACCAAGGTATGTGCCCTTGATCAGAATCGAACCCGGGACCCCTCAGTCTGCAGGCAGATGCTTGACCCACGGAGCCAAGCCGGCTAGGGCTCTGGGGTTTATTTAAATTTAGACGGGTATCTTGGGGTAGACCTACATTAATCCTGTCCTGGAGCTATTTTAACTTTAACCCAGCCAGTAAAGCTTGCTCTTAAGCTGTTCAAAACTCTCAGATGCTACAGAGGTAAGAAGTAAGTTGTGATTAAGCATGCTGAAGAAAGTGATCTGGCTCTTCAGGTCCTGTTATTTTGAGTAAAATCAGCTGGGTAGCATTTCCCTGGAGTCTGAATTTTTGTGAAAAACCCTCATTTCTCTTTTTCATGTACAGCCTCATTTGTCAAGGTCAGAGGGTCACACCATTCTCCTTGACCCACACTTTCAATCCTCTATACCCCTACTTTTACTCCCACATAAGGAGCAAGTTTAAAAACAGACTTCTTACCATAACTGGTTTGTTAAGGTATATGGATTGTCATCTAAAATTTGAATAAAAGCAGAAGGTATTGGGAGATTCCTACTAGTACGGATTTGGTGTACAGAAAGTATGTATGAACTGTGAAGTGTTGAATTGGTTATTAACTGTCTTCTTTAAGGAATTTTTAACCTTGTATCAATGAAAATAATATTTGCTCAACTGGTATTTTTCCTTGTCCCACGTTAATTGGGTCTCATTTGGGGCTATGCTTAATATTGTGAGGAAAAATTAGCTCTCAAGAGTCTTGCCCTCAAAGTAATTTGGTGGGAACAGGGTATTGGTGATAACATACATGGTTTGTTTCTGGGTGCCAATTGTTAAAGCTTTGGTAGGGGGAGAGGTGAAACACCTGGTAAATGCTTTGATATTAGCCATAGTGAACAGTCTATACTGCTAACCCCTCTTCAAACAAACTGTTTGCTTCCTTAAGTGATAACCATTTTGAAGTGAAAAATACCTATAGATGTAAATGGACTCCTGCCGATAGATGGTTGGGAGTTTTTGCCTCAATGTGTTCACTGATCAGTCGTCCCTTTCAAAGTCTCCGAGTTCTTCATGCTTGTTGTTGAGATTTGAGATGTTTTTTGGTAACATTGTCTTTTTTCCATCCTTTTTTTTCTTTCCTAACCTGGTTTCTTCCAGTGCAACTGCAGATAGAAGACCTGACTCGTAAACTGCGCACAGGAGACCTGGGCATCCCCCCTAACCCTGAGGACAGGTTGGGAAACAGTTTTAACCAGCTGACAGTAACACTTTTACCTTTTTCTCAATAACGTTTTACTGGTGGCAACATGTTGTGTCAGTGCAATAAAATCCTAGTAAGACGACTGGTACTCTGATCATTCTGGGGAGTAGGGTTTAATTAGCAATATATGTGGTCATCAGCTAGAAATTGGAATGAAACTTAATTACTAGCAGAATAAAAGGTTACAGGAAAATGGATGACTGGTTTCTAATTTGTAAGCATGTCTATTTTAACCTGACTTGCCCACCCATAAGGACAGTGAGTGGGCCATTACCAGCCTTTTCAGTACCTGCTTTGGCTGAAAGCCCAGGGTGTAGAGGTTTTTCTCACAGGTGGACGATGCAGGAAAGAATATTTTTGAGCATCACTGAATTTGAGCAGGCCAGAAACTCGGTCTGCTCAGCTCATTGCTATATTGTTCCTGCTCATGGTTTTGAGATGGTTTTAAAATAGACAAGATTTCTAACCAATTTCCTCACTGCCAGTTAATTTTCAGCCTTGGCCATTGCCTGGGGCATTAGGAGGGGCCAGAATATTCCCACCTGTTTGGGAAGGCTAGCTACCATCCCTACATTACCACCACCCCTCCTCCCCCTTTTTAAGGGGAGTGTGGTCCTCCAACAGCTGTGGTCATGCTATCTCAATTTAAAATTTCACCTGTGAAAAAAAAGGCCAAGGGAAGTGAATTTTAAAGTACGTTTTTTTATTGATTCCAGAGAGGAAGGGAAAGGAAGAGAGGGAAACATAATGAGAGAGAATTGTTGATCAGCTGCCTTCTGCACGCCGCACACTGGGGATCAAGCCTGCAACTCAGGATGTGCCCTGACCTGGAATTGAACCATGACCTCCCGGTTCATAGGTCAATGCTCAGCCACTAAACCATGCCAGGCGGAAGTGAATTTTTTAAGCAGTAATTTTATTGGCTGATTGTGGTCTTTGAACAGTTAAAACCTGGTCCATTTACTTAGAAGGACAATATGCCTTCCTCTTAATGAAATTTCTCTTAGTGCGTGTAGCATAGTTGAAAGCATTTTGCTTTAAAATGTAGTGTTTTTGGCTTTTGTTACCCAATTAGTACCTTGTTAAATCAGGAAGATGTGTTGGTTTTAGAAGCCACTCTTATACATCTTTCTGCTGCCCCTTGCTAGTAAACAAGTTTAATGACTTTAATTTGTTTATATTATTTTTTTTACCTGAAGATTTTGGTTGGAGGGGGTTGTTTCATATTTCTTGGCTTTTTTTTTTTTTTTTAGATTTGCATTATAGGTTGCAGACCACAATTGTTAAGTGCCATTTTTGGCTTTTTTCCCCCTTTAATAATATACCTACAGGTTACCAGGCAATTCCTCAAAGGGTTGAATTTTTAACAAACCTTTGCTTCCTGGAGAACTGGGATTAGCCTTTAGTTGATCTATACGATGCTTACAGTGAAGAAGTTGGGCCAGTCTAACCTTCAGAATAGCAGCCTTTGTATTTCACATTCATAATTTGGGAGGAGATTAAACTGTTGTGAGGCCTTTAAATGACCAATTTGTACTGATAAAACTCACTTTGGTGATTAGCTAGAAATGCTTAATTCTAGACAGTTACCAGGGGGGATTAGAAATGTCAAGCATGCTAGAAATAAAACCAGAGCAGACTCTCTCTCCCTTGTATTCAGTTTGAAAGAATCCCTAATACCTGATTGGTTTTTCTCTTGAGCCCAGGTTGGAGGGAAATGCATGAGTTTCTTAACTTAATAAGATTATTTCTTAAGAAGGTGTATTTTCAATATTAAGCCACTTAATGCCATTTTGATGTTGCTTAAGTTGCACAGTTACAAATGTTTTTAAGTTGGTTGTAGATTTAAATGTGTAAGATGATAGTTTTTGTTCACTATTACTGGATTGTGCTAACAGTTTATACAAATGCTAGAAACGGAGGTATCATTTAGCCGTCATTAGCCATGAACAAACCTGACCTTTTATTCCATCGTGTGTGTAACAGATGACATGGTTCCCTTTAGGCTGAAGACAGTGGGAGCAGCCGAGTTCAGTCCTTGCTCTCCAACTAGGCAAGGTTCTCTCAACTAAACCAAGGGTGTAGGAGTCTTGACTACTTTCAGGATGTTTTTTAAATAACCTGATCCACATGGTCTCTTCCCTTCTTGCAGCTGCTACTAAATTTTCAATCAGAATATCAAGCTATGGTCCTTTTTGTAATCTTAACTTAGAATTCTAGGAGTGTGACTTCTCTTTTTTTTATTACCGCAAAATCCAGCTGTGGTAAACTGACCATTTTATCATTACTATTTTTTACTTGTAGCAACAGCATTTTACTCCTTGAAAAGCAGAGAGAGAGAAAATCTGCTTTCTGGACTTGTAAACTCTGGTGGAGAATCACAGGTTTCCCCTGCTGTTTGCAGGTTCAGACCTTAGACAAGCACTTGACCAAGTCTCATTTGCAGCCTCTCTCAGAAGCTGCGTTAGCACTTTAACGTTTTTCTTTACCCAGACTCCCCAACATCGAACAGCCAGAAAACAGGTTGGCTCCTGGGCCTTGGACACAGCCAGTCAGGCCATTGAAGGAAAAGCAGAGACGAAGCCTTGCACCATCTCTCCATTGTGGGGCCAAGTAGCTGCACTAGCCTTGAGTCCTAGTTGCATTGGGTTGAAGAGTCATATTTACTCTGTGGAGGGGACATACACTTCCTGACAGGGCATGAACTCTGCGAGAGTTAACGTTTTACATAAACTTGGGGTTTTTGTGGTTCATAAAGTTGTAATATTGTAAAATTTTTTGCAAATGATAGAAAATCCATATTTGGCAAGAAGACTCCAGATAGTACTGTCCTTGTTTGCAGTCGAGAGGTTTTTCCAAAGGACAGACTAAAATAAACCCTCATCCTTTTTAGAAAAAAGCAAAACCATTTTTTTTGCCTTTCTCACACACACCCCGTCCCCCTAATGTTAAGCTTCCATCTCCCCATTCCACACGATCTTGAATAGCACACGTTATGGTCAGTTCCTCCGAAGAGTGTTGTGTTAGGATCTGAGGCAGAGGGGCTGGGGAAGACTTATTATAGCCCATGTGGGGATGACAGAACAGTTAAGGTAGAGCAGTAACGGGGGTCTGTTTCCCACAGGTCCCCTTCCCCTGAGCCCATCTACAATAGCGAGGGGAAGCGGCTTAACACCCGTGAGTTCCGCACGCGCAAGAAGCTGGAAGAGGAGCGGCATAACCTCATCACAGAAATGGTTGCTCTCAACCCTGACTTCAAGCCGCCCGCAGATTACAAGTAAGCAGGGGGCTGGGTGGTCTGGGATGAGGACCCATGAAGAATGTGTGTGACGTGGTAGAACATTTAAAAAATAATAGACTTAGTGATTTCTGGAAGAAAGAGAGAGAGAGAAACATCAGTGATGAGAGAATCGTTGGGCTGCCTCCTGCACACCCCACACTGGGAATCAAGCTCGTAACCTGGGCATGTGCCCTGCCTGGGAATTGAACCCTGACCTCCTGGTTCCTAGGCCAACACTCATCACTGAGCCACGCCAGCCAGGTGACAGGGTGAAACATTTGGTACTGACTTCTCACCTCTTACCTCAAGTCACCAGAGTCAATGAGTCTTTTCTTCCTTAGACCTCCAGCAACACGTGTGAGTGATAAAGTAATGATTCCACAAGATGAGTATCCAGAAATCAACTTTGTGGGGCTGCTCATTGGGCCCAGGTAAGTAACTTCTAGCCTATGGGATAGAGAATTCCTAAGAATCTGTGAGGTGTGTTTATATTGTGCCAAATTTGGTTCCATTGGTGGCACCTTCCTGTTTTGGGTAGGACCTTCACTTTGGCTGAGTTCATGCCTTCCTGTGAGAAAATCTCTTTAACATCCTCATTTTACTTCAGGGAAGTCAAATCTTAAGGATTGCTGTGGCTGATCTTAACTTAGAGATCATTGATTTCTTGGTGGGGAAATCCAATTCTCTGCACTCATGATTTCCTACCAGTGCCTGACCAGCCCACCTCTGTCCCCTTGGAATGTGAATTTGCATAAAACAACTCAACCTTTTCTGCATCTGATAGAGGGAACACATTGAAGAACATAGAGAAGGAGTGCAATGCGAAGATAATGATCCGGGGCAAAGGGTCTGTGAAAGAAGGGAAAGTTGGGCGCAAAGATGGCCAGATGTTGCCAGGAGAAGATGAGCCACTTCATGCCCTGGTTACCGCCAACACCATGGAGAATGTGAAGAAAGCAGTAGAGCAGGTGAGGGAACCAGAAAGGAAGCCTCTTGCCAGAAATCTAGGTGGTTGTCTTAGCACCGAACGTAACTGTCCATTGTGTCTATTAGATAAGAAACATCTTGAAGCAAGGGATTGAGACCCCTGAGGACCAGAATGACCTTCGGAAGATGCAACTTCGGGAGTTGGCTCGCTTGAATGGGACCCTTAGGGAAGATGATAACAGGTGTGTGATCTGTCTAGAGGGGAGTGCACCAGAGACCTGAAGAATCTATTGAGTAGGAGGGGGTTGGCTGTAGCCCTTAAGTTGACTTTTTTTTTTTCTCAACAGGATCTTGAGACCCTGGCAGAGCTCAGAGACCCGTAGCATTACCAATACTACAGTGTGTACCAAGTGCGGAGGGGCTGGCCACATTGCTTCTGATTGCAAATTCCAAAGGTGAGGGGGGCTGCAGTCGTGGCTTGCTGGTAGCCTGTGGTGTACAGGAAGCTCTTCAGCACATTGGCCGGTTGCTATTAACTAGTGGATCCAAGAGAAGCTTTCCTTTCTGTGCATGTAATGGTGTGGTTTAAAGTCCAGGATGATTAGAAACCGCCTGTGCGGAACAGTCCTGTTTTGTTGTTCATCCTGAGCCCAGGAAATCTGTAAACTTCCATCCTGGGTATGGGGAGTTGGTCGTCCCCCCCGCCCCCCCTTTTTTTAAATCCTCACCCAAGGATGTTTTCATTGACTTTAGAGAAAGGGGACGGAGAGAGAGACAGACAGACATTGGGGTGCCTCTAATATGCACCCCAAACAGAGATCGAACCCGAAACCTGGGTGTGTGCCCTGACGGAATTGAACCTGTGACCTCCAACCAATTGAACTACACCAGCCAGGGCAGGGTATAAGTGTTTTTACTGTAGCTCAATGTTAGGTGCCATTTTTGCTGCCGAAGACTGGTTTAAGAACACCAAATAACGTAAGGATTTTGACCAGTTTTGCAAGCCAGCACTTGATAGCAACATTTTTTCACTTGGAGTAGCTTTGTTAAGGAAGTCCTGGTAGCTGTGTTCCAGTCTTGCATAGATTTCCTTCCCTCAGACTGGAAATGCAGAATTCTTTTTCTTAAAAATTTGTTGGTTTTTTATAGAGAGAAAGGGGGGATAGAGAGTTAGAAATATCGATGAGAGAGAGAAGCATCGATCAGCTGCCTCCTGCACACCCCCCACTGGGGATGTGCCTGCAACCAAGGTACATGCCCTTGACCGGAATCAAACCCGGGACTCTTCAGTCCCCAGGCTGATGCTCTATCCAGTGAGCCAAACCGGCTAGGGCCAGAATTCTTTGTTTAAATGTTTTTATTGACTACAGAGAAAGGAAGAGAGAGGGAAAGATAGAAGCATCCATGAGAGAGAAACAACAACATGGATTGGCTGCCTCCTCACAACCTGGATATCTGCCCTGATTGGGAATCGAACTTGTGATCCTTGGGCGCATGGGATGATGCTCTAACCAACGGAGCCACACTGGCCAGGGCTGGGAATGCAGAACTTGATGAAAGTTGCTACTTAGAAGAACCTGCACTTTCCTGTCTGCATGGCTGGTGATGGTCTGGTGCTCCCCGTCTCCCTGATCTTGGCCCCAGGGCTCTGCTGTGGCAGAGCGATGTGTAACCCCAGATGCCCAGTTGGGCACACAATTGAAGAGCCGATGAGACTGTTTTAAAGAATGCGTTAGAAAGGATGATTCAGTTCCTCAACTTTCTTGTGTCAATTCCTCAGGGTAAAAGTTTCCTCCTCAATGATTTCCCCTCTCTCTGTAACCCACACCCCACCTTCAGGCCTGGTGACCCGCAGTCAGCTCAGGATAAAGCTCGGATGGATAAAGAATATTTGTCCCTCATGGCTGAACTGGGTGAAGCTCCTGTGCCAGCATCTGTGGGCTCCACCTCTGGGCCTGCCAGCACACCTCTGGCCAGTGCGCCTCGGCCTGCTGCTCCCGCCAACAACCCACCTCCACCGGTGAGCTTCAGGCGCTGGTTCTCATGGCCTGGTCCCCATCTTCCTCAGAGGAGGGGGTTATGGCCCGGGCTTTTGTGCAGAGCAGATTGTGGACATGGCTGGCAACATTGTTCTTTCGGGATGCCAGATGTTTGGGGATCTCACCTGGGAAGATCTGTCCCTGTGTGCTGGTCCTCTGGCATAGCCGAGAGAACAATGTTGCCACCAGGGGGAGCAGGCAGGGACGTTGGCAGGAAATGCTCTCACGTAGTCTCTCATGTCTACCACCCAGAGCCGCCCACCCTGGATGAATTCTGGCCCTTCAGAGAGTCGGCCCTACCACGGCATGCACGGAGGTGGTCCTGGTGGCCCTGGAGGCGGCCCCCACAGCTTCCCACACCCATTACCCAGCCTCACAGGTGGGCATGGTGGTCATCCCATGCAGCACAACCCTAATGGACCCCCACCTCCTTGGATGCAGCCACCACCACCGCCGATGAACCAGGGCCCCCACCCACCTGGGCACCATGGCCCTCCTCCAATGGGTAAGTAAGTGTCAGACCAGAAACCTTGGGGCTTTGGGGTAAGCAGGAGTTATAGCGAGTTGCTGTGAACTAACAGCAGCTCTCAAAGTGGTTGAGTGTTGCACTACGTCTCTTGTCAAGGCTTGGGCTCCAGGAGAGCAAGACTCCATCTGATTCAGGAAAGGGTTTCTGTGTGGGGTCAGCACAGGCCTCTCATAGAACTGCTCTTGTACGGGCAGTGACTGCAGGATGTGTGACTGTAAAAGCTGTTGGTGGGGGACGACTTCCCTGGCCAGTTCAAATGTCCTGCTAAGTCCCTGCTCTTTCCTTCCATCAAGATCAGTACCTGGGAAGTACGCCTGTGGGCTCTGGGGTCTATCGCCTGCATCAAGGAAAAGGTAATGGAGCCTGACATCCCGCTTTGGGGCATCACCTAGGCCTGGGAATGAAGGGGGGCCTGTCCCAAATCTCTCTTCCCAGAGGCCTGACCCTTTCCTTCACCTAGGTATGATGCCGCCACCGCCTATGGGCATGATGCCGCCACCGCCGCCGCCACCCAGTGGGCAACCTCCTCCCCCGCCTACTGGTCCTCTTCCTCCATGGCAACAGCAGCAGCAGCAGCCTCCACCACCCCCTCCGCCCAGCAGCAGTATGGCTTCCAGTACCCCCTTGCCATGGCAGCAAAGTGAGTGGCATATTTTGGGCTTGTGGGGGTGGGTGGGATGGGGGGTGGGGCTAAGAGGAATGAGAGAACCTCAGAGCTCACACAGGCAGGCCAGCACCTTAGGGTGAGACTCTGATCTCGGCTGGGGGTGAACACAGAAAGGGCTTGTGGCCCGTGGGAGGTGTCGGGGAGGAGATCTGATGTTTGGCGTGGTTGTGTCTGGGGTGATATGCGGGGGCCTGGAGGGGACCTGCCGTAGTAGGGAGTAGAAGTCCAAGCTCTCACTGGCTGAGTGAGCTGCTGGCTGGCTCAGTTCTGTGCACATGGCCAGGGGTGGGTGGTGCATGCGAGTTTTGGAGAGGGATGCGATTGGGGCCTGAGAGACTGGGGATGGTACCTGGCCGTGGGAGAGTAGCTGTGGCCTTGAGATTGAATGTGCCGTTCGGTGGTGGCGGCGGATGGGCGGAGGGATGTCAGAGCCGGTTCTTGTGTCTGGTACCTTCCTGTCAGCCCTTCCAGGGGACACTGGTGACAAAGGGCTTACTTGTTAAGCCCAGAGACCTTGAGGCTGACCCTAGGGTAGTCCTGCCCACCCCTTCACTCCCCACACCAGGACAGCCCCGCCCGCCCGCCCCCCACCACCCCACAGC